CAGTATATGTCACTAATGATTGTTGTACATCTTGTGTATTTGACAAGGTCCTTGTTACCAACATGTGTCTAATGGTTGTTGTATGACTTGTGTATTTGACAAGATTCTTATTACCAGCACATGTGACTAATGGTTTTTGTGTGCCTTGAGCATTTGACAAGGCTCTTGGTACCAGCACATGTGACTAAAAGCTGTTGTATGTCTTGTGTATTTAAGAGTATTTTTGTTACCAGCAAAGGTGAATATTGGTTAAATAATGAAAAAATAATATTAACAAATTTTTTCACAACGTATACTTGCAAGTAGCTCGTACTTTACATCATTCAATATCTTAACTTGAATTATGTGTTCACCATTTGATTTGCAGCTTGTATTGAAGGATTATTAATTAGACACAGTTCAAAGAGCAATAAAACAATGAAATTAAATAACAAAAGACGTAAACTGTTTAGGTTAAATAATTATACTTTTCTATTACAAGCTGCAGTCATTCTAGAGAGAGAGAAACGAGAGTAATTGAGTTTTATTTTGTCTTTTATTTAGTCTAAAAATGTATTTTTAAATCTGCCGAGTCTGTATAAAGTTACGGTAGAGAAAGTAAAAGATAATATATAAAGTTTTACTGAAAAAAGACGTTTGATATTAATTTAGGAGATTTCAAAGGTTATGCAAATGAAAACTATAAGATGAATAAACTTATTTCTAATCTTAACGTAAAAAATTACCTTGCACTTGGACTAGTCAACACTTTGGTTCTATATAGTCAAATAAAAATACTAAAAAATTTGGTTCCTTGTGTGCAAAAGACTTGTAATGTTTACTAAAAGCTTGCCAAATTTCATGAACTTATACTTACAACCTCAAAAGTTATAGTATGGATACTTTCATGTTTACTTGGTGGTTCAAGATCAGTCAAAATAACCAAGCTTATGTTAAGAGAATTAACCCTCAACATGGGATCAGTCAATTTGACCGACCACGTGATCTCATGGTACTCGTATAAAGTCTTTGTAGATTTGATACTACTAAATTTTAATATGGTATGTATATCTTCACAAAAATCTTTAAAAAACTATTCTTCATCCCCAAAATCTCTGATATCATTTGTGTAATCTCTTAAAACCTCCCAAATAAATTTCAAATATTTGTTTTCAGTAAAATTTTATATTTTTTCTGTTATTTTCTCTACCCTAACTCTGTTCAACGTTGGTCAATTTGACCAACCTCGTAACCACCAGAAAAAAATTGAAATAAATCTAAATTACCCTTTTTTTTTCTATCTAGAGTGACTTCAAATTGTAACCTGAAACTACATTTGTTTATCCAAAGTAGCTTTAAAC